TCCTCATTTTTATATCTTTTCCCAGACCAGGTGTCTCAGCCATGCCAGAGGTGATATTTGGAGTTGATGTTCTTTAGTGGTCATTACCTTTTGTGTCTCTTCTGTGCTACTCCCTGTCTGTTGACATGGCAAGTTCATCAGGCCTTACCTGGTGGAACAATACCCYGGAAAGAAACATCAATTCCCTTCCCCCAAGGCAAAGACAAACAAAACTGTCTAAAGTGACATAAAAACAAAGAATTAAATTTTGTATCATGTCCAACACTGTGGCTAAAACCCTCCAAAACAGAAGGAAGGTGGGAAAGGGCAGCTCACCACAACCCTCAGATTGTGGGGATTGGGTTCTCCTGACATGAGGAAACAGCGCGTACTCAGGAGCCTCCTGAGCAGGGGCCTAAGGGGCTATGCAATGGAGGTAGGATGCCAGAGTACTTTGGGACAGGGGCTGCAGCCCAGTTGCCAGTTCTCTGCAGGCCAGGGACAATCATCCAAATCCACAGGCAGTGAGGCAGGAGCTTCAGCTGCTCCACAGGGTGCTGGCAACCTCACAAGGAGGGGAGGAGGGAGACTGGAACACATGGCTGGTGCCAGGAACCACAGCTGTGCTCCCTGCTGCATCCTCCCAGCCTAATTCAGCTGATCCCATCTACATGAGAGCTGGTAAGAGATGCCAGAGCTCTTCCAACACACAAATTCTGGCCAGATTAARGCAATCATATAATCATGAGTTGAGCAGATTTTGGACAGCRKTTCTTTCTCCTGGGAGYCCRGTTCTCCCTCTCAGCACCAAACACTTGCATCCACACACGCTGTACAAGGTGCCTTGCAGCAGACTAGGATGGYTTATTCAGCTCCACAAACACTAATGAGTGAATCATACCTGTGYAATGCCAGTTGCTTCAAAGCAAGCCTTGCAGATACTCTTTTTATTCCCCTCTTGCACAAGCACTTCCTGGAGCACCTGGAAAGCAGAGCTAGGGGTGGTGGAAATACGCTATGGTGGGAGAATGCAGCTTCACCACTGTCCTAGCTACAGGAGTATTCTACCCTCATCTATATTTCTGAACTGTTAATGATGGATGGTTTGCAGTAGCTGCACAGTGCACACCCGACCCCTCAGGCTATGAGCTGGATGTTAGATAAGGAAGGAGAGGCAAACCCTTCGAAGGCAGGGCAGTGTTTATTTTTCTTTACAYCAATGACTCAGCTGTGGTTACTCCCTCCGGAGAAGCACCAGCACGGTCACACCCAGACCACACTGAGTGGTCATCTCTGCTAATGGGTCATAAGGAACTCAATAGGACTGCAGAATGGGCAGGTGCAAGGACTCTCCACATAGCCCATGACACACATTGTTACCTCATGAACTGTGAAACTCCCCACCTTGAGAGAGGTAGCGAGCATTCCTACCTGAACCTTAAAGGAATGAGAGGGATGTGTCTTTACAAACAGCGGGCCTGCTTGTAGATAAAGCCAGATACTGATTGGTGAAAAAAGCAATAGGAGAAACCATAAATTCCAGAGGAATTCCACCATTCAACAGATTGTTGCTCACCAAAGGCTATGCTAAGTTCTTGGGCCTAGAGAAAAAGAAAAGGGTGGTGGGTAGTAGGGGTGTGTGTGCATATTAGGAGGAGGTCTGTATTGTGCGATTCAGGAAGTCTGTACCTCTCAAGTACCTCAGCCAATGGAGAAAGAGAGAAGGAAATGCACCCGGGAAATTAGGATTAAAAGGAGGCTGCAGCTCTCCAGCAGTTTGAGAGACCCTATGGGAAATTCCCCATGGCCCCTCCCTTTATTCATAAATAAAGCTATGGGACTCTATCTTCCTTTTGGACATAAACTTCTGACATTGTGAATTAATTTTCCTAACAAACCTGAGTATATATAATCTTTGGTCTTGCGGWCTTCAGGCACCACCACATGGCAGATTTGGAGGAGGACCAGAACTYTGACAGGACTGCAACCATGACCCAGACCAACAAGGTGCCAGGTTGGATTCAGTCTTTGTGGGTTAAAACCAGTTTTATCTGTGTCACTGTATTTATCGAAGTCTCTCTAATAAATTCTAACTCTGACCTGTAATGTCTCTTAAGTTGTGGAGTGGGGGTAATTTCTCCCTCTTTTTTTACTTTCAAACAAGCACAACCATGCAGCAACAAAATACAGCAGACTTGCCAGTATTTGGTACCACTTTTGTGAACCCAAGTGAGCCCATCAGTTTAGAACAGTACAGAAAGCTCAGTGTGCTGACCCCACACCTCGTTATGGGTAGAGTGGAGCGAGGAATACAACATAGGTAGTTTAATGAAACATCCAGACCACCAAAGTATGCTGCTGCTGAGTGGATGCAGTACTTGTTCAAACCTGSTCAAATGACAGCACCTCCCTGTGGAGTTGGTGTTTCTTCCTCAAACACCTGGAGTATTCTCATCACTGCATCCACATGGAAACAATGCCTCATTTTTAGCAAAACAGTCCTGTGTGTTTCAAACCTCAAGGAGGGCCATCAACCCAACCAGTTATCCAGTCATTACCTCCCACTCTTGTTGGGTAGTGGGGCATAGCCTGGCATGAAACGTCACCAATATTTACTGCCAGCTGTCCAGGAAGCAAGAGGAATCCTCCCCACTGGGTTCCCACATGCAAGTTTCTGTTTTTTTCAAAGCCCTGAGGCTGAAATACCTTTGGGGATCACAAGGACAAAGGTGTTTGTTCAGTCTTGGCAGGGTAAAAAGACTTCCAGGCTGTTCCCTGTGCTCACTGTGAAGATAAATTAAGCCAGGGATTGGGGGACAGAGAGAGCATACACCACGCATTGCCCTGACCTCCACCTCGACAGGCATGTCATCAGTCTCCATTCCAGCTACACCCAAGGCTGCATGTGGCAGCAAACAGACCTGCCCACCTTCTATTAAAGCACCCAGCAGCTGCCTGCATTTTAGCTAAAACCAGGTGTCCTGCAGAGTAAAAAATGACAGAAAACAGGCCAAATTCTGCCAACCCAGGTCAGTAGCTTCCAAACTTAGCTTCCCATGGCTTTTCTTCTGGGTCCACACCCATGTAGCTTTTGTTCCCAAGTGACAACCACAGGATTTGTGTCTCTTTTCTTACTCACATTTCAGCCTCTTACCTGTGGATAAAGAGCATCTCTTTCCAATTCTGATCTGCTCCCAGAGGGGGAAGAACTTTCTCAGACCTGCCTGTAACACTCCTTGGCCTCTGCCTCCCCAAAACAGGAAAGCTCTCTTTGCCCATCAATGAGTCCTGCTCCAGCTAGCTGCAGAACAGTGACTCCAGTCTTGATAGAGCAGACACAGAGGATTCGCTCCATTTTGCATGAGCTGGCAGAAGTTTAAAAAGGAGGGGCAAATAGGCTTCAAAATACAGTCTTAGGTTTTTTGTATGCATACAACAGAGAAGGAGTTCTGTCTACAGGCTGTAAGAGGTAAAAACACAAGTGAAGGGTGTATTCAACCACAGAGAAATTTCTCAGAGATGACTTGGCAGTTTCTCTCCTTCTTTCACACCTGTAACACATTTCTGTTTAGACAGCCCTCAAGAAGAGAGGTTGCTTGATTTCCTTCAAGACTRAGTCTTGAAGTGCAAGACTTACAAAGTGCAAGAAATGCAGGAAAATGGGGTGCTGCTGGCTAGATGTCAGAAAGTCCAGCTTTCTCTCGAGGAAGCCTTTTTTCCTGTTTATGTAACCTGAGAAAATGTATCATGGTTAAAGTAGTCTTGAACCAAGAACTAGAACAGATCCATCTCGGCTCAGAAGGGGTCCTGGCCCCACAGTCCTTCAAGCACAAGCTACATAGTGGCATTTTGGGGGCAGAGTCCACCCAGAACAATTAGTCTAGTTAAGACTGAGTTCAACCCCAGGTTCTGCCTTCACGCAACTTTGTAACTTAACCAGTTTCAGGGCCTGGATCACAGATGCAGTCTGCCAATGTATTCTCACTACTTTGTGGTTTTTCTGGTACAATAAATTCTTTAATAATTTCACAGTAAAAGAACATCTCATCTTTGCAGGAAAGGGCTGTGGGATTCAACAGTCTTAGTGATTAAAGGGGAACAAAATAAACAATGATGGACAACTGGCTGTGATTTCTTTGGATCACACTGAACCTAGGTTCATTCAGATACTGAAACACCACCATCCACACTGCTGGAAAACAACGGAGGAAGGGAAAGAGTCCAGATATGTTATCTAAGTCAAAGTAGAACTTTATTTATGTAACTGAAAGTGATGACACTTGTAGTGCAATGACAAGCCCAAGTTTATTTATTTCTTCTTGGAAATGAAGCATCTCCTTCAAAACATTTGTGCTTTGCTATCACGCAGCTTTTTTACAGTGGCCAGACCATGTAACACTTCACCACTACTGAGGATCAGGAAGCACCTCCTTGGAGTTCTACAGTYAGTTACTTCTTCATTTTGTAACTTGTGTGATACAAAGAATTCACTCAAAAAAGCTTAATTTCAGTGTTTCCAATTGCTGGATTTTTAAATCACATTAATGTGACTCATTAATCCCACCCCCAATTCCATTATTTAATGATTTATCCTCATTTATCCCTCATAAAGAAGCAAAGTRCAGTGTTCTTAAACTATAACAATGGCTCCAAACAGGAATTCATCAAAGAAATATTGCCAATAGAAAACCGTGATTCAAAACAACATAGAAAGGTATAATCACTGAAATGTAAAAAAAAATATACTGGCACTTTATGAAGGCACAACAGGAACTAGCTCAGGTATCCAACCACCAGTCTTTGGTCACATCCAAAACAGAAGGGTCCCCATTTCAAAGGCAGCTTGAYAGAAGAAAGACACCTACCAAGGAGCGTATGGAAAGTGTCATTACATCAAACAACATGGGTGCAATACTTCCTCCACCAGGCTCTGCACTGGAGCAGTGCTGTGAAGCAGCTCAGTGCAGCACCCATCCTATAGCAAGTAGCAGATGGGCTGTGTCAAGCAACAACGTGTGGTGTGTCATGTGTCATTGTTGCAAGGTGAATTTTTCTGTGACAAAAACTTTCAGCACTTGGGGTTTTCCTGTATTTACATTTCTTCCAATAAAAATGGGAAAGATCAAAGACTCAGTGTCCAAGCAAGTGAAAGAAGTAGTATGAGTGGCACAATCTCTAGGCACTGAGCAGCCACAGTGCACAAGGGAGAGCATGGCTGCAGGAAGCTCTTTTCATCCCAGTGCTGGAGGTGGCCAGGGCCAGCCCGAATCTGCATCGCCTTGACTTCTGGCAGTTCCACAGGGGGTCACCCCTGCCATTTATAGTATGACACCAGCTGCTTAGGCACTTCAGCCAGAACCCTCTGGGAAAGTGCTTCCTGGGGAGCCTGAAAAGAGAATGGAGAGAAAAAAATCAGAAATGTCACAGAGAACAAAGTTGCTTGCTACAGTTTTAGGAGCCATCTGGGCTGATGTAGTGAAGAGAATCTGGTGACCTGGGATCTCCACTGGAGGCAGTGAAGTCTATACCCACCCAATCAGGCAACATGATGGTAGCAAGTCACTGATACATCAGCACAAGCAAATGAGAAGAACTAACTATACCCACAAACAGGAGGTTAGCTCTAGTCCACACAGTTCTCTTCCTCCCAGGCAYACAACAAGCCCTACACAGGGGCACACAAGCCTGAACCCCTTTTCCCACCTAGGTACAGGTATTTCCAAGCAGTAGCAATCCTTTCCATTGACAGACTGAACAAATTTCTCAAAAGTAGTTTAAGAAGCCCTAGCTCCATTAAAGTGCTATTTGATCACAAAAAGTAAAAATACACTATCATTTGGGTTTTGCAGACTTCATCACTGCAGACTCATTCTGCATTTGCAGTCACTCATACTGACAATGAAAGTAGTAAACACAATAAAAGTAYTAAACCTCACTGCTTTTATCCTGTCATTTACCAATACAAGCAGTGGGGAACAACTCACCGTAATCTGGCAGCCTCCCATCACACAGTCCAGAAATGAATATTCTGTCTCCATCTAGAGGAAYAGTGTTACACCTACTCATTTCACTGCAATCAGAAAATAAAAATGAAAAAATCCAACGAAAATCTTCCTACCTTGCAGGATTTTATCCGAATAATGCCAGAATTATTGTAATTCCTCTTCTTTTGTTTTTTTCTCAGAATGAATGCATTCGAATTCCACCTACAAAAAGCAAGAACAGAAGAAGCAAGTTCCAGAACATCTGCTTTTACAGAAGAACAAATTTTTGAAACACACAGTCACAGATCCCACAACTTCCGAGTTACCAAAATACTCAGCAGAATTWAGAAATTTAATTTTAAAAGGCCTGCAACTACTTTGGCTGCTATCTGACAAGCTAAACAGGGTGTTTTTGCCACCAGCACTGGGCAGAGGAGGCAAAAACCTTGGGGTGGGTAGGCTGAAAAAGCCTAGGCCACAGGTTCCCAGTTGGCAGTGCTTCCCTGCTTGGATTCATTTGCACTGCTTCTGAATACACATCAGCTAGGAAAAAAGCCAAGAACTTTCCACCAACTTTTGGATTACGACCAGTCATGCTGGCTGGCAACTCAAGTAGTCGTGGGATACGTCCTGTACATGAATATATCTGCCTCAAACCAGGTGGGACATCTCCAGGAGAATGAGATGTCAGTTTTCACTGCAGGCAACAAAACAAAACCAGCACCACCAGCATGTGACTCAACTTATTCTAGACTGGATGACGAAGACAAGTGCCCCTTGGAAGGACTGCTGCTCTCCACCAGCTGACAAGGGGACCAGAGTGCTCAGGAGGGTAACCAGCTCCAGCACAAACATTATCTCAGACAAGTTTTGCCTCTGGACTCATCTGCTACAGCATCAATAAACACTTTTATTTTCACATGACACAGCAGAGGCCAAAGCAAGCTGAACTGCTGGGAGAAGTAGCAGGGTCAGCAGATAACAGGCTCAAGGRTATTTTTAGAAATAGGATCAGTAACAGAACCTGAATAAAACCAAGAAATGTAATTCCCACACCGGTTTTTATTCTTTCCAAATGGTGGTTTAGTAATATAAAAACACAGACAGAAATATACACGTTTGGAGGCAAAAATTAAAAGTATATGTCTGAAGGCAATATTAAAGAGAGGGGTTGAAAGCCTGAATTCTGGATTAAGTTAGCAGGGGCTGAGGAAGCTCACCAGAGAGCAGGCACCAGCTGTCTGCCTCTCTGCCAGGGTCATTCCCAAAGTGCCTATCAAGTCATGTGAGCTGTTGCTGTCATGACCAGCACACTGCACCTGGAAGGAGGGAGCAGGCAATGGGCAGGCAACCTGCATTAAGGAGACCAGCCATAGCTCACCACCCCATGTCCTCTCTGACAGCTCTGCCTCGATGCTGGAGAACTCCCCCATGCCATCAGGATTGGGAGTGCTGACCACATAATTAACTGAAACCCAGCAGCAAAGACACACAGTGAGAGTGAATCTCAAAAAGAGGAACATGTTCATTTCTTCACCCAGTCAAGTATGCATGGTGAAAATTTTAAATAATATCTTTCCCTGGTTTAAATGTTAAATAAACAAATAAAAATTAAAAAGAAACATTAACACCCCCCAACATTTCAAAGCCCAGACATGTAAATGCGAGGTCATTCAGGACAAGGTATGCACCTGGGGTAATGGCAACAAGCAATCAAAACTTTGTTATCTAAGCTATGCTCTTTTTTTTTTTTTCTGCCCAACAATACCATCAATTTACAAGGCAATTCTAATTTCCATGGAACAGTAAGTCTGTCTGCTTCTGCTCCTTATTCGCTTGGTAGAAAATACTTTGTTAATAAAGTAACAAAGCTTCATTTTTATTTCAGAAAGCTTCAGAACTAGCTAATGCAAAAGAGCAACACATWTACAAATAAAAACATACTAATAATTATGGCTTATAGCAACATGGTGTCATAGCTCTCCACAAAATCACTAATGAGAGCATTTCTAACACATTCAGTGCAAATGACTCTGGAATACAACTAATTCCAGAAGCAGTCAACTAAGGTACAGTTGTAAGTAGCTGCCTCTTCCTCCTCTGAAGCTCACATGCCACACAGATTCCAGAACTCTCCTTCTGAGATCTGCCTTTAGTAASCAAGAAATTGATGTTACTCCAGTATAAACCAGTGACAGATTTCTCCTAAGGACTATGGGACAGGATGAATCCATGCGTAACACTCCGATAAGGATGTCAAATTCAATGGCTCAATATCTGAATTTGACTCAGGGTTCTTTTAGGAATATTCAGATCTACTGGGGATCTTCCACTGATATAAATGAAAAACCCATACAAACAGCCAGGTGAATTATGTCCTAACACAGTCACCTAAATGGGAAGCACCATGCCATTCTTCAGTGTCTTAATGGCAAAGATACCACAGAGACTGTTCCCYCTTCTCCTCCATCCTTTCCACACCACTTCTGCTCTTCTCTTCTAGACACTCCACCATGAAGCAACTCCCACTCCTCYTGCCTGAACTTCCCTTGGCTTCTCCCAACAATTATGATGTTTGCACATCACCCAAAAGCAACTGGATCATGCCACGGAGGCCGAGGAAGGAGGCTCTTGAGCAGAAGCCAGGGTGCAGACTCCCAGTGAAGGGTCCTCCTTCGAGCCAGTACATCTGGAAGACTTCAGGGAATTCAGCAGCTACCACCTCCACACACCTCCTCACACCTCCTCTCCCCTCCTTCCTTCTCCATTTTCCTCACAGCCATGCCAAGGACCAGCTTTGTTATTAGTTCACAGCATGGTATGGCTTAAACCAAACCTCTTTTCACAAGGGTTTTTCTAAGACTGGACAAGATTCACTGCAGGCAGCCCAAAGAGTGGTGTTGCTGCAAACAAAGCCCTCCAATATTGCAGGACACTTTATAGAGTTATTTACTGACTATTTCTTCACAAATTCTCATTATGAGACATGGAACAGAGTCAACAAGGAAAAGATCCCTTTCATCTGCAGGAGGAACTTTCAGAATTCACAGAAAATTATTTTGCCTTTGTGTACATGCCACAAAACCTGTGAATACAAACAACTATAAATTCCTATTTTGTTATTTTGCTACTTCTATTTGTTACATTTGCTATCTCTATTAAAATAACTACGGGGGTGAGCCGCTGCTTTCACTTATTTTTCGCTAAACTGTCACAAAGATTAGGCTGTCATAAATATGAGCTGCTCTTAACACAGAACAAAAAACATCACTCTGCATCACGATGAAGAAAGAATTGTCATAATAATATGTAGCATTTGATCAAAAGATTTATATTCATATGCATATTGACCATATAGTCCTAACATACAGCTGGCAGAATCGATGTTTAGGTGATACACCCAAATGRCTGTTTCCACTGTGCTGAAGTTCAAGTTCTCCCTTCACTGACTACCAGTATTAATRCATAAATGCTCCTAGGTTACCTTCTGGAAGCCTCAAACAAGAGGTTTTGAGGAACAAATACCAAATGAAAAAACAGTAGTGCAATATTATATACTTGAGTGCTGCTAATGAAACTTCTGCCTGTCAGTCTAGACTCCCCAGTTACTTCCCCAGCCTGTTAAGGACAAGAACAGTTTAATCCTTTTTCACAGCTGCAGTGGGATATTTCATAATTAATTRCCCATGTATCAAGAATTTTGATTCAAAAGAACTAACAGCAAAAACCTATCCTTCTGAAGATGCAGGTCACTCTAAAGTCAATTCCAAAGCACAGAAYGTTTCTAGAAAATTAACAAAACAACAAAACGAGTATTTTTGGGCTATAGCAAATATAGCGCCACAAAACAGCATGTGTAAACCCTGTGTGTCATGTCAGTTCTAACWAATTACAATATGCACCTCTTAGCCACCTCCTCTACTTACTTGCTGCATACTTTTGAACCAAGATGACTTCTTTCTGACCTAAGACTGTTGATTCCCACCAATAAAAACTCACTACCACCACTCAGAACACTGCCACCTATCAATAAACCCAGCACACCAGTTGRAGGTTAGGATTTTTCCTTGTTTTCTTTTGTCTTCCTCAGAGAATTTTTCTCCCATTTATTGCCTAAGAGATGAGAAYGGTGATGCTTCAGAGAAAAGATGTGGCCAAGATGGGGAGGAGATGGGAAGGGGTGCRGTTGGCTGCAGTCTCTTGGCTGGGGAGTGTTTCTCTTGTGAAGTGCAGAGATACTCAGACTTGGCTGGGGTCAGGGGCTGGGYTCAGCCTTCTCTCWCACTCTTGGCATCAGAAGGCAGATAGTTGTGGTTCTGCTGCCAAACTGCTGCTACCCAGAGGATTCACTACCACTGTGGAGTTTTGTCCTTCACTCCTTCTCCTTACCATGGGTGAGCCTGTGTTCCTAAGAGCAGACATTGAACTGGGAGTTTCTCAACACYTGACCTCACTGGGAAGAGCCTTCATCATGTGCTTGGGTGCCTCAGGGGGAACCCAGGACTCCCTCCCCTCTCCAGACAGCACCTCCTGGCTGATTGCGGGATTCCTCTGCTGCTGCACAACCCTGCTGTTTTCTGCTGCTGATTCACAGGTTTTGCTACACTTTCAACTTGACACCCCGCATCCGCCCKGCTGCTCCTGACAGGGCCTTGGGGTTTTGACTACACTTTGTTTGCCACAGGGATCTGCTGACCTCTGCTGTTCCAACCGGCTGCTGGGTGGTTCCTGCTACAGTCCAGCTCGCCAGCCGGAGCGGCACWGAGATCGGCTGCTGCCCCCGAGTTTCACAAGGGGAGCCACCCCGTCTCCTTCCCTGTCACCTGAGCCGCCATTACCACAGGGA